ATAGGTAGGTGAAGAGAGAGAGATTGATTACTGAATCCTGGTTCAACGAGTAAATCTACAGCCAACACGTGCAATAGGAATGACTCAATGCAAATGCCAGAGATATGGAAGATGTTATTACCACCAGTCAAATAATGTTATGTTAATTGACAACACTAATAGTGGTTCTGAATGTACTTAATCTTCCTTTCCGTTCATGCATCTTGTATTGATTTTTTACTCAAATATCTAATCATCAATTTTTACTCATGTATATAAACGAAGCAAGAAAGCTGTGTGAGTAGTGCCTTGATGTGATTATGCGTAGCAATAAATTGTGGCCGAAACGTGGTCATCAGTTAATATTACTGTATAACACAACTGTTTGATTTTATCAAAATAGAATCTTATTGTTATAACTGTGGGGAATTGAATGAAGACGTTTTCACCTTATTCTGTCTGCGCCTGAACTAATCTGCCTATCTGCTTGTCGTACCTTCCGACTTAGTAAAGCACGCAAATATCAAAAGACAAAGGCTGGACTGCGACTGTGTATTGAAGTGCAACAACGATAAAGAAAGCCATGGTATTTATACATTTTACAACAATATGGACAGCTAACAGCATTTGAAATAATTTATCTTAATAGCCAATAACAAAGTGCGTGAGAGATGATAATATACCATATGTGCGAGGTTGACAGTCAGTAACAAAATGTGTGGGAATGATAATATACCATATATGCAAGATTAAACAGTCAATACCAAAATATGTGGGATCCTATCACCTCCCCCGTAAAGAGTGTAGGACTTGCTTTTTGGATCTATTTGAAAAGGTTTCGGAGCTCTTCTTTGTCGAGTTGACCTTTGCGTGGTACTGGATAGAGCGTGATCTGTGTGTCTGACACATAACTGTCCTTTTTCATTCGTACGATAATGCAGCAAGAATTTATCCAAAATTTCTTCTGTTGTTCCCTCCCCCTTCGCTTTTGCATAAGCACGCTTAAGGTGTCGACGAAACGTTCAGTCTGTCCATTCGATTGGGGATGATACGGGGGGCTACGAATATGCTGGATGCCAAACAGTTTGCAGCAACCAAGTTTGTCCTGGAAGACAGAAGCGTGCTTTTGACGACGGCGTTGCAAGAGAGATTGATCAGATACATCTCCGGGAACAACGTTGTGTGGTGAAGACGAAACATTAGAGCATACTGAATTTAATGGTACATTAAAGATATGGAGCTTGTCTAACCAGTCAAGACCAAGCAAATCCAAATCATGGTAGTTTGTAACGTAACATACACCATTGAAGTGATGCTCACCAAACTGAACCTGGCAATTGATCTCACCCACAGTTTCAGTATATCTCCAGAGACATTCTTGGCGACATGCTCGGTCGGCAGAATCTGTGGGCAACCAAGTTTGCGCCACGTAGTTCGGGAAATTACGGTGATATCTGATGCCGTATCCAACTGAAGACGAATACGTTTGCCGTTAATATCTAGTGTTATGTACTTACGTTTGCTGGCGAACTCGACTTTGGAAGTAGTGAAAACGGTCTGTACTCGAGGAGATTGTTTCGGCTTGAAACGACTACTTCTGTTCCTCACCGAAGGATTTTTCTGCGGTGTACAGTAACCCTCCTTATGTCCAAAACGGTGACAATTACGGCATTTATGTTCTTGAAAGGACAGAACTTGACAAAATGCCACGAACCACAGTGCCAGCACACTGAAGGAGGTTTAGCTGAATTTTGAGACTGACGTTCTGTGTGCTTAACGGTGATCGGAGGACTTTTCACTGTGTTAATCGAACCAAATTCAGACGACTGTCGTTTGCACTCCACCATAGCAGTATCGTGCTTCAAGTTGATTAAACGTAGGCATTCTGCTGTCACCATTTGTAAAGTCATTTTCGGGTCTTGTTCCACAGTGACAGAAGTCGAGTTCGTATGTCAGTATCTTCTGGGTTCTTCAACCCACAAATAAAAATCAAACACTTGAACTGATCTGATGTCATTTCGTGTGGTTTGAACCTTTCACATTCCTTGTTCACTTTGCCAGCGTAAGTCACATAATCATCGGAAGGCATTTTTGTCAACTGAAAACATTGATACCGAATATTAAACATGGATGACTGTTCACCAAAGATTTGTGATAAAACGGTGACTGTCTCATCGAATGATAACTCACGTGGGTTCTTAGGCAGAATGAAGTTAACATATCTGTTGTGCTCAACAGTACCAAGTTTTCTTAGTAACAATCGGACTTTGGCAGCATCATCAAACATGTAGCATTCAATACGGAAAACGTCTTCGTAACGATTGAACCATGCATCAAATACGAGACCAGATATTGGGTCGTAGTTGAACTCACTGATGGAATTTGAGATGCTTTCATATTTGTCAGAATGAGATGTTGATGGAACTTGAATGGACAGCTTCTGAGTGAGAGCTTCGATTAATTTTAGTTGAGCTGCTTCATTCTGAACTTGCTGCTGCTGCAAGATAGATTTGAGATCGTCCAGAGAGATAGACATTGTAATTGGGTTGTAATTAACACAGTCAAAAATGTTATATAGTTGCGCTGAACAGAATAAAAACTGTCGTCGTTTGCTTGCTATAACTGCGATGAATTAAGGTAAAACCCCGTCGCCAATTGTTATAACTGCACTGAATTAAGGTAAACCCCGTCGCCAATTTGTTATAACTGTAGGGAATTGAATGAAGACGTTTTCACCTTATTCTGTCTGCGCCTGAACTAATCTGCCTATCTGCTTGTCGTACCTTCCGACTTAGTAAAGCACGCAAATATCAAAAGACAAAGGCTGGACTGTGACTGTGTATTGAAGTGCAACAACGATAAAGAAAGCCATGGTATTTATACATTTTACAACAATATGGACAGCTAACAGCATTTGAAATAATTGATCTTAATAGCCAATAACAAAGTGCGTGAGAGATGATAATATACCATATGTGCGAGGTTGACAGTCAGTAACAAAATGTGTGGGAATGATAATATACCATATATGCAAGATTAAACAGTCAATACCAAAATATGTGGGATCCTATCACTTATCCATCATGAAGTTATACTCTACTACAGTGTCCAAGTTTTATCCTTGGATCTTCGAGTTTATTTAACATTAGACAGACACCACCTATGAAATCTAGTTCTTCTATAGAGTTGTTTTTTGTTTTGTCGGTTCAATATATATATTCTCGTCTTCATACTCAACCAAAATCAGAAAGTGATCTCTTACTCCTGCCCTCACTTTAATAAACCCTTCTAGAAGTTTTTCGTTGTGACATGAAAATCTTCCTGTTAAATAAGGTTTGTAGATTTTGATTTGACACTAGTAACTAGTGTGATGTGTCTAGTCCTCTCATTGGTGCAGACTGAATTCTATCAGAAGGGACATGAATTCCTTGTGGGTTGCAGATACGCCTCTCTGACTGGTGAGTGCCAACTAGCACGAAACCTAGGTCCAAGGCTTCCTGTGGCCGATTGCCTCCAGCCATCTAATATCATCAAAGGTTTGCAGATGTCTGTTACGGTACTGTCTCCACTCCCACCCACTCCGTAGTTTTGAAGGAGTCTCTAAATTACATTGCAGTTCACACTAATGTCAAAAGTCTTTTCAAAGTCGATTGAGTTGATGTTGATATTCGACTGTAGTTTGATCGATTACATACTGAGAAGACCGTCATGATTGACATACTGCCAGAGTGGCCCTCGTGAGCAAGCCGAATGACGGATGAATAGTTGGGGAGGTGTCACTTCTAGAATGAAATAGAAGAGCTGGAAGTGTGTTGGCGGTTGTTACTTCCCGGCTGCCCACACCACTACGGAAGTTGATTGATTCTTTGGGTGCCTGAAACAGGGAGAGGGTTAGTGTTGCGTGACCGCAGAGCCCAGGGAACAACTGCTTGAGACCAGTCCGTCACACACGGCCTGTATAAACTGATTTTTTGGTTTGGTTCCGTATTAGTAAATTTACCGCCAGTTACGGACCACCGTAGGTTGGATAAGTCGGGATGTACAATTTTTGGGGTCGACCTTTTCTAACCCCTTATCTCCAGTAGAGTGGAGAGACAGCATAGCTGGCTGACATGCTGGTCATCTGAGGGAAACACCTTACTACTGCTGTTACACCCCTGTTCCCCAGCAGTACGATTTCGTCCATAGACCACCAGCATAGTGTAAAAAAAGAAATTCTTACACTATGTCGGTAACTGCTTTTAGTCTAATCTCGCTATCCTAACAACCTTCCTGGCATGGTAGAACCTGCAGGAACATCGGTTCCAGCCAGTGTAGCTTGTTGAATCATCGCGATATGCAAGCCCGGCGACCAGCACGTCAAGGTAGCAGCTATCGGTCGAGAAATGGAAGAAATCGCATATGCAGATGGAGAGGGGACTGTGTAGATAAGAAAATGAGGATGAAATGGAGATGTTTTGTTGAAGCCCCATCTTCTTCCACTCGAAACTTGAAGAGAGTGTAATAACAGTTACTCACAGTAATCATCAGTTCTAGGTTTAAAGTGATTACAGTGGTTAGGACTCTCGCCGACCATCCACATGGTCCGAGGTTCGATCCCCTGCCGATGCACACCTGATATCTATGGTCGGCCTCCACAATTTGGGCTACCGATATCCATGCTAAAAAAATTTCATACTTGTACCAAAAATACAGTGGGGAATCAAGGTGTATTCAAAATAAATAAATAATTGTCACCTTGTTGTTGTACATTTAAAAATCATCGAAAATCCAAATATTCTTTTTTACCATCTTTTTGTTTCCATCGTTCATCATACAACCGACTGATATGGCAGTTACAAGAAGTAAGCGGAGTTTTGTTACGCTTCAACGACTTGATTTGTTTGTTTGTTTTTCGTTTGTTTTTTTGCGTTACTTTGTTTATTCACAAATGTATATTTTCACCTATCATCTTCTTAATATATATATATACATATTATGCGGTTTTGTTTTATATTCTCTCTCTTTTTTCATTCACTCAGTGTACTCACACTAGCCAATAAGTGTTTAGCAGCATCTTTCCGTTATACACTTAACGCTCATGGTCTACTAAAGCGTATTTGTGCAAAATTACACGATGCCCATAAAGATTATGTGAGTTATATATGATTTTGATTTTGGCTTTTTTTCCCCTGTCTGTCTGTCATCTTCCGTTCCATTTTCTCTTTGTATATGTGACTCCTGTTTTTTTTTCGCGGTTTTTAGTTAATTATTTTCATTTCACGCAATATATGTTATGTGTATTATTGGTGTTGTGGGTTAACAAAGACTTATTTATTTGTTTTAATCCATGCTTTTTTCTGCGTCAGTTGATTGAACCGAAATGTGTTCTCCTTCTGTCGACTGATGATATATCGGCTCCCTAGTACCAGACGCTTCAGTGATATTTTAGGATTAATGCTACTGATGTTTTATTTGATGAATATGGTGATTCTAGCATCTAGATGGATATACACTTTGGCGTTTTTGAGGTGATGGGTGCGAAGTTCGAGTCCCAATGTGGGAGGGAATACCATCACACACATTCGTCTGAGGATTGCAGATACACGTCCAGGTGACATGTGTCTAAATCAGGATGAAATACGCATCCTGGATTCCACTAGTAGAATCATCAACCACCAAATGACAAACTATTTATATTCATTATTGGTAATTATAATAATAATAATGATAAGAATTCTTTCAAAAATACTTTTAATACCACTTAAATCCGATTGTGTGTGGTGAACTGGGACAGCTTTAGAGTGATATTTGTCAATTGTTCCGGTGTGAGTATGACATAATTTCGAAGAGGGAATGTGTTGACAGAAATTTGTATCAATAATACTAAAATTATTGAATCCGATTTTGCCATAAATGTGTGAATAATATAATCTCAGATTCAGGGTCGTACCACATCTCACTACTCTGAACGGTATAATACTTTGAGTGATGTTGCGGCTAGGTATAGAATGTTGGGTAAGGAAAGGAAGTCAGCTGACAACGTTGTGAACCTACATCGATTGAGAGATGGCTGCGGCACACTTCGCATGTCGAACCATCAACTTCCTTGTTGAGAAATATTAGTTTGGAAGGGAATTAAAGACGGTCAAATTAAAACTTGACATTAGTTCATGAAGTATTTGATAGTCAGTCTGAGCTGGTTATGTAAGGGAGGGGGGGGGGGGGTTAAGACTGCCTAGTTTAGGACTTCGAGATGTTAGGAAGCCAAAGCTGAAGACTATTGGTGACATATGACTAGAGCTATTCGTGGCAGTGTCACACATTCACTCTTTGTGATCTAATAGATCCATTAGATTATGACGTTTTTCCATGTTACAATTCTGTCTCTCTCCCTATCTCTCTCGTACCTTTCTGATCATTGTAGTTCATATATTGTTCAGCAGTCCGCTCCATCCTCCTTTATGGCTGTGAGACCTGACCATTTAGAGAGGAATACATGAAAAGATCAGCTAGCTGTCTTTGATTATAGGTGTCTGTGTTCAATTTCCCGTGTCAGGTGGTGGTATAATACGGTGAGCAATATTGAGGTTAGGCATCAATCGAGTGCTAGGTAGACGGAAGGGGAAATCAATTGGCGAGGATGTGTTGTTAAATCGACTGAGATGGTTAAGACATGCGTTACGAATGCCTGTCTAGCCATCGCCTTCCTCGACAGACGGGAAATGTTAGATGACATAGGGTCAAGTTGGAAAAGAGCCAGTGATGGTCAATGAAATCCACAACAGTTAGTTTAAGCCAGCCAGTCACATAGGAAGGTGTAGACTGGCTTGCTGGTTGGGGTCATCAGGACGGTAAACACCAATGGCGGCTAGAGACAAGTGGTGATATGGCTCAAAATCGTTCTCCGTGATGGCTGGCGCAGATGCATCCACTCCTTGTGACTTATAATTCCAATAAAACTATATTGTTCTTCCATATCACTACTCTTTTTGCCTCATATCTCAGTTTACTGTCTTTGTTTTGCCTTTTTTTTACTTTCTTCTCTTGCTTTGTATGCTAAATGCGGGGGGGGGATACTGTGGTGAATTGAACTGCTGCAAATCGGTGCAAAGTCCTACATTGAAACCAGTCAGTCAGTCCATCTTTGTGTGTTATATGGAGTGTGGTAACTTGAATTTCTGTGGTTCTGTGTTAAAAACTCAGTCAGTTACCTACTGTTCTGATTCGTCTTATGTAATTAATTTGGGTTTTGAAAATGTTTTAGTTGGAATTATGGTTCATTGACTTATAAGTTGTGGACTTTTCAGTCAGTCAGTTGGATCCCCTTGGTTTCGAATCTCACTCCACAGCCTGTTTCAGCCTAGACAACCGTTTGGGTGCTCCCAGGTTTTCCATTGATTTTTTAACTGATGTCAACTTGTAGGTTAAATGCGTAACCAATGAAATCCCTGCTGACCAACTCATGATAATTACTGAGTAGTATAACTAACCCATGCATCATACTGTAACAACATAAAATGAGGGCCAGGCAACAGATCGTTTATTGAGACAATCAATAGATTTTTATGTACATTCTTGTCAGCGGGAAGCAGCGTCTTCTGATTGGTTGTTTTCTTACTGAAGGTTATTCTGTAGTTCTTGTGACCGTTGCTTACAAAGTTATCTATATATCTGTAAATCGTATTTGCACACGCTAAGTCTGCTGTGATTGGTTGTTGAGTCCCTCAAGGTTAAGCTTTCTTATTGTTTTTTTTCTCATGACCTCGATTCGGAACGTGAACATTGATACGTAAATTGTTGTTTACAATTTTGACTTGCAGCTAGCTCTCATCACAATATTTGTGTGTTGCTTATATCCTGGAGATTGTGAAACATCAGTTCTCTCCACTTTTATATAATTATTTTCTTTAACTAAAGGTTTGTGAATTCCTCTGCACATTGATGATGTCATTTTTTAAATATTCGATGACGTGAAATTGATTCTCACTGAGTTTTAACGTAGAATTTTGCATAGAAGTGAAGCGCACACTTCAACGTCTGTTTGTCTATCTGTTTTCGACATAGAACTTTGCACTGATTTGCAGCAGTTCAAGTCGCCACACTCCCTCCATAAAGCAAGAGAAGAAAGTAGAAGAAATGCATAATGTAGACAGTAAACAGAGGTGTGAGACAACGGAATAGTAGTAACGAAGAACAAAACAGTTTCATTTGAAATTATAAGTCATAAGGAGTGATGCATCTGCGCCAGCCATCACAGAGAATGATGAGTTTTAAGCATATCACCAATTGTTTCCAGCCTTCAATGGTGTTTGCCTTCCCGAGGACCCCAACCAGTCAAGAAGTCTACACCTTCCTACGTGACTGGCTGGCCTAAAATACTAACTGTTGTGGATTTCATTGACTGATGAAGCCATGTTTTGGTTTGACCACCGTGTGCTAGCTCTTTTCCAGCCTGACCTTATGTCAGCTAGCATTGCCCATTGTTGAGGAAGGCGATGGCTAGGCTAAGCATGTGTAACACATGTCCTAACCATCTCAATCGGTGTAACTTCACAGCCTCGTCGATTGATTTCCTGTCCTTACTTCAACTTGCCGCATTCCATATAGAGTACGCGAAGAGAGACGGTTAGAAAAAAGAGATTCAAAAGAATAGTAGACAGAATAGTTAAATGACAGATCGTGTTAGTAACAGTCTTTCCAGTCATTGGTTCTTAGCAGTCTGGTTAGCTCAGACCAGACTGTCAAAGACTAGATGAACTGACTGATGTCATACTTTAGTTTGACCATCTTTAACTATCATCCCAACTAAATCATAGGTCAGTTAACAATATTTCTCATCGAGGAAGGCGGTGACCTCGTCGCGCGTGTTCTAGTCATCTCAGTAGCATGAAAACCGTTTAATTTATTCTAGACGATATGTATATATCTCTCTCTCTGTATATGTGTGTGTCTAATTGATTTTTTTCCATATTTTTTTCTCCCTCTAGGCATTGGCACTTACCTCCGCTGGATTAATGTTTGTTTTATCACGAGATCGTGATCCAAATATCTTAGATGTTGAATCTCTTGCTATTGTATTGAAATTATTCTCTGCACCTGATGGTAGGTTTTGCTTTTTTTTGGAACAAATTTGTATAGTATTTCCTTTCAAAAAAACAATCGTTTTATTTCCAATTTCTCTGTCTGCACGTAATTTACAGTGAACACCAGCCAGGAATCTATCACCAAATAAATATGCAGAAGTAAATGGAGATAGATTGAATGTAGTATCTGTCGCTGAGGTGACGACCGTTGGGTGTATCAGTCAGTCAGTCACTCGAGTGTAATCCGAATGACGGAAACGACGAGTTGGACGTGAGTGTCTGAATACGGGTGTGGGGTGGTGATGACATGTAGGCGATAATGTACCTAGGAAATGATGAAAACCTTATAAGCAATAATGATGAAGCCAGCTGGAAGTGACGACAGAGAACGAAGCATATAATAGACAGGTGTTCTGCTGAAGTCATATGGTTCCACTCAGGAGACAAGGAAGGAAAAATAATAATTAAGTTTAAATTGATGGATAGCCTCACCAACCAGGCTCAAATAGGTAGAATGAGTGGGTCTCCAACCCCGGTATATTGCATGATATATATTAAATTGTCTAAGTTCATAAGTCACATTTCGACCTTGCCTACTGATACGTCTTATTATTGTAACTCCTTAACATAAGGCGTATTCTTGTTATTGAGTGTTGCCGCTTTTTTCCAAAGTAGGAACTTCAGCTAATTTACGGGCAGAGTTCAACAATAGCGTTCCAAGGCTTGGGAATGCACGAGTGTGACCTTTAGGTGACCAATCATAAAAATGAGGAATGTGTTTTCTCAAAAAATAATGTATATTGACAAGAAAAACGCTTGAAAACGCATTGAACACAGGTTATCTTTCTCTGATATGACTTAAAAACACGTCCTAGTTATAACGAGGAGTATATCAGTTGCTAAGTTTCTGTACATATGTGTATTCACCGAGATGACTACAGATAAACTGTTTTTTCTGTGAATCGTTTATCTCTCTCTCATCCTGCCTGTAGTCTTCCAAAAATGCCCTCGGTTGAATTATTATGCTTCACAGCAAGAGGATAGACGCGACTATTTACCAGGAAAACGTGGATAATAAAACAAATTAAAATAAATGACATCAACTATAAATCTATCTTTAATCGTAACCATAAGCTTAATCCTGACCCTAACACTAAACTTAATCTTAACCCCTAAGCATAACCATAATTCTAACCCTAATACTAGTTATAACCCTGATCCTAACCCTAACGAGCTATTAACACATTGTCCAAACAGTACTTAAAAACACGTGATCTAGATGAAATTTGCTCCTAAGTTGGTGTGAATAGCGTTGATATTTCAGCTGTGATAATGACACACAGATGCCGTTAGCCAACGACTAGCATGCCTTCAAGGTCACTGAGCGTTCACACTCCTAGGACGATCTTGATGAACTTAGCCATTTTAGGTAATAGTGGAGACAGCTAGAAAACACTACAGAGAACAATGCTGCTGAAGGCGCCCCCCCCCGCCTATGTTTCATTCAGATCCCAAGGAGAATAATATAATAATAAGAAATTTGCAAGTCTTTATTGTAGGCTTCTTCATCTTCTCTAAGAGTTTTGCAGTTCTGCTACTGTCTATCTGATTTTTCCGTCCTCTATATACTGTCTAATTAGTCTCATTAGCTTTTGTGGCGTGGTAATTTGTCATAACATCCTGAAATTTTGTTTATTCAAGCGTTACACTATGGTTTAAGTGTAATTTTTATATGTTATGATAACAGACATCAGAAGTCTTCCTTAAAAGGGTGGCGGGGGGGGGTGGAAAGATTCTTTTATAAATTTAAATTTTATGCAGCTGTGACTCATTGATCATTGAGCGTTCGACTTCCAACCCCTGTTGGTTGCAGATTAGAACTCCACTCCCGATATGTCTCATTGCCAACTATGTCGCTGAGTAACTAACATTTTTTCTCATTTTTAGTGGGTTTTTTTCCTTTTCTTCTCCTTTTCAGCAAATACAAACGGTACAACTGGTCACACTGAAGCCAGTAAGAGTAAAGAGGCTGAACGTGTACGTGCACGAGTTCGACAATTACTAGACGGTTTACACCAGAACAATAGTAATAATAACAGTAATAATAATAATAATCCAAAGAGTTTAACATCAATTACCTCGAATACGATTACAGATACTGGGAATAATACCAGCACAACAGGTGCTGGTGGTGCTATTTCATCCAACCTTGCCTTGTTCTCTGGTAGTGGAAAACGACCGCTACTGCCACTTGGATCTAAGCCTTCAATGAATTTGAATTTAAATACTCGACATTTACAAATGACGCGTCAGTTGACGGTGAGTACTCTCTCTCTCTCTCTCTGGTTGAATTATTTTGAAATATAAATGTCACACTGATTACTAAGGATAAAAAAGAAGAAGAAGAACAGGGAGGATTTTTCTGCTCCGTGGCATGTTTTTGACGCTCTTACCTGAATAGTTTCTTCTTTGCAAAGCTTTTATTGTCTTGACTGCAATATAATATATGAACAGTCTTGATTGAGTTCCGTATTTGCTTGTTTATTCAATGTATCCCTCACAGTGATTGAAACAGTATTATTATTCACTGGATGACAAAGTTTCGGACACAATTTCTTACTGTTCATAATCGTATCATCAATTATAATCACACGACTTTGAAACTTGAGTTTTATAGTTTCTTTGTCCTCTGCTATTTGTCGTCGTAAGGACGTAACAACAGAAAACCAAGGGCCAGGAAACAGGTCGTTTATTAAGGAAATCAACACATATTTATAGATTTTCATGTACATTGTTATAGCTTATTCGAGCAAACAAACACAGTCTTCTGATTGGTTGTTTCTCACAGAAATCTAACCTTGCATCTCTTTGTGGCTGTTTCTTGAATGTCATATCATCTATATGTTAACTGTATCCGCCTACGCAAAGTCTTTGTTGTCATTTCTCTCACGACCAATATTGGGGACATAAACATTGATGTAAATTACTGTCTACCAACTTTGGCTAGCAGCTAGCTCTCACCACAGGGGTAGTAGAATTTTCCAGATATCGATGGGGGGGGTGCGACAGGTGTTGAATCATTCCTATTACACGTTTGGTTCGCAGCTGACTCGATAAACAAAGCTTCTGTTATCCATCTCTCCCTCGCTGCACCCTGTGACATTAGATTTTAAAATTGTCATCCTATCCCATCCATCCTATGCTGTATGATTGTGTGTAACTGCATGCAGAGAGGACAAAGAAACCTATAAAAGTCAATTTTCAAAGTCGTGTGATTATAATTGATGATATGATTATGAACAACAATAAATCGTGTTCGAAACGGTGTCATTGAGTAGATAATACTGTTTCACTCACTGTGTGTGATACATCTGATAAACAAACTAATATCGAATTACTTACTACCACAGTGCCCAAGTTTTACACATGCATTAGTCATGATTGAGCTTTGGAAATTAACCATGGAGATGAAATATATATGGTGAATCTTGGCCGGTGTGTGTGTGTGTGTGTGTATGAGACTTAACATTATTTCTGGAGATTATCTCCGGGATCCAAGAAATGCACCATATATATAGAATTTTTAGAGGAAAATAAATGTAAGCATTCTCACAAAATATAATCTATCTAATCTTTCACATTACGCCTTAACAACAAGCTACTAAATAATACTTCACGAAAAGCATTTCCTTCTAACAGCCAACTGTTTCAGTCTTTCATATCAACATTTGCCTTCTCTCTATGCTGAAGATGGATGTAATAGATGGCTGACTGGAAAGCATGAACAACAAGCAATTCTGACAGGCGGCGAACCAGCCTATAACTTATTGCTCAAAATGTATATGTAAAAGAGGCAATGAAGATGGACATACGTTGTGGAGACTTTTAAGTGAAATTCCATGCCCCAGATCTCGAATGAAATCTGAATGACGAAGCGAGCAGTTGGATGTAGAGATCACATGAGTAGTAACAAAACTGAAGGCTTATGGGCATTTGTAGAGACAGCTAAAACAATAGAGGTGAACAAGTGACAAATGAAATGTGCCGGAGAAGCTGTGTATTCAACTCGAAACTCAAGGAACGAATCATTAAAATAGGTCCTGACTTTGTTGTTTCTGAAACACTAGTAAATACCAAAACCAACTAAATGATATTTCCCACTTACCACTTCCTATCTTGATGATCATCCCCCTATCTAAGAAGTCGTATATTGTAATCCTAAAGTTTTGTATTTCCAGGTAAAACTGTGAAGAGTTTTCACCTGTGGATTGTTTAATTTGCAGATGATGAATTTCACTGTGCTCATAACCATCAATCCGATCACCATGACTCTAGACAGAGTTTGGATAGCTTGAATTTACTCTGATTGGACACTATTAACTGGTGTGATGTGTCTAGACTGAATTCTGTCAGTCAGGTTTGCAATATGGCCACCATTCTAGGTGGCTCGCCATCACGGTGCACATTGATTTGATGATATTAGATGGTTGAGGCAATCGGTCACAGAAAGCCTTGTCTGACCTAGGTTCGTGCTATTTGGCACTCACCAGTCAGTCAGGTTGGCGTGTCTACAACCTCGAAGGAGCTGATATCCCTTGTGAGATTTGAACTCTCCTCACCCAGTGAGTACTGCAGTCAGACTGTTTGGGGGTTGAATCACACCACAGCTGATTTGCTTGCCCCCCCCGTTCCCCACACCACTCGACAAAACAGCAATTCGGTCTTTTGGATCACATTTGTCTAAAGAGCAAACACTACTACAAACAGCTGCAAGATGGACTGATCCCTACCGCTTTTTTGTGTGCCTTTTTCTTTGTTACCAAAGTGTAAAAATATAAAAGGCTGGCTGCCTTAGACAACATTCATGATGTGCATATTCAAGTAACTGAAGCTACCTAGAGAGGTCACTGTATGCTGAAAGATGACCTGGCCGTTTGAGACGAGGTGTTACAGATGAAACCGTGTAATATACTAAATACCAATAGTCTTTGATATTTGTATTCTGTTTGATAGGATCTGAATTAAATGCCACTCATCAGTCGCCTCGCGAATCCAAATTTATCAAATGGTGTGTGAACCTGTTTTATTTTACCAGAAACCATGGAGAGGCTGCTCTCCTCCGCTGCCTTATGGTGTAGTTCAGATTTCCAGTCAAAGGTTCGGGTAGGGGAGGGTGGAGTTGTCCCTTAAGGCAATCACCTACCTCTATCTGATTGTTCGGGCAAGCATCTCAGCCTCCCCACAAACTCTGAGATTTTGTGTAGCACATCTATTGGCGCTCATGAAGTGTACTAAGTTTGTCTTAATAAATAATTTTTTTAAATGTCCCTATGTCTGTCTGTCTTTTTCGACATAGAACTTTCCATCGATGTGCGGCAGTTCAGGTTGCCACACTCCCTCCATGTACCACAGAAAGCAAGAGAAGAAAGTACAAGAAATGCATAATAGAGACAGTAAACAGAGGTGTGAGACAAGGGAATAGTAATAACGAAGATCAATAAATGACGTGTGAACTTGTTTTAGGTCACCAGAAACCGTGGGGATGCTGCTCACTCCACTGCCTTGTGGTGTAGTTCAGATATCAAGTCAAAGGCCTCAGGTGGGTAGAGGAGTCGTCCCTCAAGGCAATCACATGCCTCGGTCTTGTCTTTCGGGCAGCACATCTCAGCCTCTGCATAAACTATGAGATTTTGTGTAGCGTGTTTATTGGTGCTCATAAAGTGTACTAAGTTTGTCTTAAAAAATAATTTTTTTAATATCCCTATAGACAGACAGACAAAACAGAGACAATATGATTTTATGAGTGTTCTTCTACTGTGAATTTCACTGTCTTTACGCTTTCTTCTTTTGTAGACATCAGATTTAGTTATTGAATCTATTCTAAACTTTGGTACACGTAAAGCTGGTGATTGGTTCAAGGCAGAACTACGTACTGGTGGTGGATTAGATCGAGTAGCCGACGCCGCTTCGGATGCTGTCGATTATTTAGCCGATTTAGATCCAGCCAATAAATCTCAACGAGTGAAGCCAATGTGGCGGCGTTCAATGCCAGGAATTGACAATTTCGCCTTGGATAGGCTTAAACGAGTTTGTCATTATACTAGGCTATTAGAAAATGTAAGTTCTCTATTTTTTCATTTAATGGTGTTTTAATAACAATAATAATAATAGTAATAATAATAATTTTGCTTTATTTCAGAAATAGTACTAGTCGTACAGTGTGGACTTTTCAGCACATATCTTCAATATTGCATCTAATTTTATTAAACATTTAAAAGGAGTATTTCAAAAAATAAATAGAAAGACTACAACAACGAAAAAACAAAAAAATAACAAAAAAATGCGAAAGAAAACCAAGAAGTAGAATGGAAAATAAACAACAATAATAAAATAAGATCTCAGTATTGGGTAGTGGAAGCTATGATATGTGTATGCGTGGTGAACAGTAACAGCTATAATCATCCAAGAAGTTATGAAATGTTCTTAAGAATGTTTATAGCCAACATGATCAGTTAGCTTGATTGAACAACACCAAACAATCATAAAATAAACGTGTCAGGTATTTTTTTTGATTGTCAGGTCTAATGCGGTGTTTGTAGTGGTAGTGTGAGTAATCATGCATAATACAAAAAATTTTAGGATGGTGATAACGGCGTTCACAACCGAGATTGTCAGTTTAATATTGCCGAACAATAAAGAAACAATCACAAAACTAATAATACATGATGGTTAATGACGGGATAATTTTGTAATACTCATAGTGATGATATAGTCGGAACCAGCAGATACACAAAAGAGGGAATAGAGTAAAGTACAAAAACAGTAAGCCAATATTAATAATTTAGGTAGCTAAGTATGTTGAAGAAGGTGTTCACTACAGAATACAAATAAGAGAAAAATAAAAAGAGCCAAAATGATGCTATTAACAACAAAGCAAGTCATAGGTTTCGCTCTTAACATTGTCTCTGTCACTTAGAACACAGACCAAATATGGTATCGTTGAATTCCTTTACTTGGCTGTACGAGCATATATTATTTTGTACTGATTTCTGGTTCTACCTGATGAGATGCAAGGAGAGAGTTGGGAATAGAGAGGGTGTTGGGGGTCGGAGAGTATGGTTTTAGACCATTTTTCTTATGCATTCAGATGCCTTTCTACTAATGTAGTGACGAGCTGACTGAGTTTTACACCGCTAGTCCTACTAACTACCTTCTTCAACATCCTTCTCAGAATGATATAGTCGTTTTTCAGTAGCCCAGGAAAGACTAATGGGGAACAGTAAAGTAGAATAGGTAGGATACGAGAGTTGACAAATTGTGAAAGCAGAGGTTGAGTAACTCCAGTTAGTCTGAGTTTCTTAATGTAGTAGGTTAGACGAAACACTTTCTTAGAAATCGTTTGGATATGAGATGACCATCTAAGGTCGGAAGATAGAACTAGACCGAGGTATTTTGCATTAGATAGACTTAGTTTCAATTTTAGTCCCCTCAATGCCACAGACTTTATGAGTACTTACTAGTGTTTGTAGATCTCGTTTATGCCTAAAGGAGAATTCAACACTGACATTGATACCATTTTTATTCTTATACTTTAAGTTTGAGAAGATAGCATTGTACATAAGCTTCAGAGGTCAACTACTCATCGACAACATAGGCTGTCGTCGGGTTGTGCGGTATATTTACCGCGCATTGTTAGAGGTTAGAATTCATAGACCATTGAATCGTTCCCAGTGATTCAATAGTCTTGAAGAGTCCCACACTGGGACGAAATAACTGTTCAGTAAATACTATCTGGTTTGCCAGGTAGATTTTCAGTTCACTTGTCTACACCTCAAAATGTGCATATCTAAGAGGATGTTGTAACAAGATTATAGTCTGTGATTATAGAATAGGCAAACTATTCAGGTTCTATATTTTTGGAGTCTTTTTGATGAAATGACCTCTCTATTTTGGCGCTTTTTTTGTGGCGGGGTAGTAAAATCATTTGTTGAGTATATATCCGTTATACGGGTCACTTAATAGTAGGAAGAGGAGGTACTGACAGTCAGCCGCCCATTGGTTGTGCTGGGAAGAAGTTAAAGGTAGTCAGATCTAAATCTGTCATCAATTCATCCATCATCAGGTCTTTGAATGTGATATAACTTAACTTAACTATTCTCAGTGGTCACAGATGCACATTCACTCCGTGTCATCTTTTAGTTCCATTAAGTCTTTATGTTTCCCCATACTACTATATATATTTTTTTTCTCCCGCACATTTCAGCTCATTATAGTTTATATTCCCTGAAATTTGTTTTCCCTACCTTTGTGTGTGTGTGTGTGTGTGTTAGCGGAGTTATGGTAACTTGAAAGTGATGCGTGTTTCTGTGCGAAGTTCACTAAGTAGGGTAGGCCATAGATTCGAATTTCACTCCTCCTATCGAAGTGAGGTGTTTGAACACAACCAGTTAGAGAATCATTGGCTCTCAGCCAACTGTATGTAAATACAAGTAGGTTAGTAAGCAATATGTCTACTTCAATATTGGTTACAGGATTTCATCATGAACTGAAATCGGTCTAGAGAACCATTGGAAAACCTGCAGAGAGTACTGGACAGCCAGCTGTTTTGTTAGCCTAGTTTGGGTGACTCTTCAGCAATACGCACTCACCGCCAGGATTTGGAACCCTGGCAGAAGTTGGAATTCATGAGCTGGTCATTGGATCGTGTCCCAGTGGCTTCATGGTCACCTTGTTGTGACCAGAAGGTCCTGGGTTTGAACCCCTGTTGTGTGTACGTACTACTGAAGAATCCCAAACTAGGCCGACGAAACAGCTGGCTGTCCAGTACTGTGTGCTGGTTTTCCAATGGTTCTCTAACTGATGTCAGTCTGCTCATGATGAAATCCTTCAACCAATCAATCAAATCCCTACAGACCAATGCTTCAATATTCATTCTATTAAGTTTCATGCGAATATGTGTATTATTATAAACTCGATGACAATCTCTTATTCATTTATCCTTTTATTTTCTTACTATAGATGACTTATATGAATTCTGATAATCAAACGTATTTAGTACATTATCGTGATGGAATTCTTGTCAACCGTTTACTAATATGTTTACGTGTATGTGTCTGTCATCTACCGACAACGACACCGTCATCAACAGCGGCAACACCGGCGAATCAGCAAACTCCTAATACCACTACTACACTACTACTACTACTACAACTGGTGATAAATCTACTGTAAATAATAGTATAAAGCCTATGTCAAATGCATCACAAACACCTCAATACGATAATCAGACTATTTTAACGGATTGCATTTTGGGTATATTTCGATTTCTAGTGAATGTTTCACATAATGGTAAGTGAAGTTGGTTGGTTGTTTTTTTTTTGCTTTTTTACCTTACTTTCCTCATCTTTCTTGTTAAGAACTCTGTATCGGCGGCATTGATTGTGTTATAATAGATGGTGGTTGTAACTATCGATTGTGTTCCGGAAGGTTCAGTGGAATACGTGCTAAACTATCTGCTCCACGAAGCCAGTCTACACCTTCCTACGTGACTGGCTGGCTTAAACTACTAACTGTTGCGGATTTCATTGACTGATGAAGCTATGTTTTGGTTTGATCACCACTGGCTCTTTTCCTGTCTGATCCCTATGTCAGCTAACATTGCTCGTCTATCGAGGAAGGCGATGGTTAGACAGGCATTCGTAACGCATGTCTTAACCATCTCAGTCGATTTAACAGCACATCCTCGTCAATTGATTTCCCCTTCCGCCTACCTAGCACTCGACTGATGCCTAACCTCAATATTGCTCACCGTATTATACCACCACCTGACACGGGAGATTGAACACAGACACCTATAATCAAAGACAGCTAGCTGGTCTTTTCATGTCTTCCTTTCTCAGTGGTCAGGTCTCACAGCCATAAAGGAGGACGTGTTGTAGGCTTTTATTTTATTGCGTTAGGAGGGGGTTATTGTGGTCTGAGGGTGAAGTTGTACTAACAGCTGACGGGGGGGTAACAGTTTCCTATAGAGGATCAGCAAGCAGGTTCATCTGCTTTTCTGCTTTTGGGGAAAGATGGGTTAAGAAAATGTCGACCTGAAAAATTGTACCTCTCGACTTTTTCTATAGCAATCTGTGGTCGACGATAAGGCACAATAAGGTACGATAAGGGGTACAACTTCAAAATACCAGGGAGTTTATATGTGTGTATTTTTGTTTTCGTGTGTATTGTTGTTAATACAACAATCTTAAGGTTAATATATCTCAGCTTTTCAGTTTAAAGTTTTCCTATCATGCATCCTTTAGATATATCTGTTTTCTGGTAGCTTCTTCATAGATTATGATAAATGTTCCACTTTACACTGCCTACTCATCATTACAGTATTTACAGATGGGTATATGAAAGCTGGTCTACCTGAATTTTCAATGTATTCAAACCATATTCATCAGTTGACAGATTCACGTCCGTTTTTCGTCTTTATTTTGTGGTGCTTACTTAGTGATTTACTGATCTGGGAACAACAAAAAAACGGCACCAATCACTATCAACGGGAAAAATTCGGAAGAGATTACTTCCTGGCTTCACATATCTAGACAGGCAGCACAAGTGGAGATGTCAAAGCCAGCCAGCCAGAATCGGAAAGACAAGATACATTCACCCTCATCAATCTGAAACCAGTTTGGAAATCTTCTATACCGACTCAGAGAGCATAAACAACAAGATTTGGAAGACACTCAGTCACTTCTTCTATCCGGGTTAAAAAACTTGACTAGTGTGTCACGAAAAGCACTTCCAACAAGCTACTGCAGACTTTTATTTACAGCTGGCTCCATACGGAAGATCAGCTGGTCAGCCAGCCGGCGGTCCAGAAAGAATAAGCAACAAGAAACTCTGGCGATGGAAAAAATCAATAGGCGAAAGCCGATTGCTCAACAAATATATGGGAGAAAATGGATATGGATTAATCGGGCATACGTTGAAGAGGCCATCGAGTGACATCGCGCACAATTCAGGCCATCGCTGAAGTGGCATCCCAATTGAAAGCGACGAGTGGTTTGTCGGTGCGAGGGTGACATAGAGGAGATGAGAGATTATGGCCAGTTGTGGACTCAGTTGAAGAGGACAGCAGAAAATAGAACAAAATTGAGATGTGTTTTTGAAGCCTTATGTTCCACTCAGAAACCAAGGGATGAATAATAACAGTTAAGATCTTCATGACTACGCAAGTGAGGCGAGATGGTAATTTTGTGATAAAAGGAGCCATTACCCCGTGTGTGTGTGTGTGTTACCGGTGGTTGTGGTCCAACGGTGATATGCTTGCCAACCACGATGTCACACATGGCTCGGGTTCAATTCCTTGCCGACATACTTCTAAACCTCGCGTTTACCGGGTAGAAAGGTTGGGCTCTACCGTAAGGCTGGTAACCCGCACGATGTAGAGAAAACACCGCCATTATTGAAACTTCAGGACCCAAGGTTGAAGTCCTATTATTATTTTTATCCTCATTAATAATCATAATTTAGGTACATTATGGACACCATCTGATGTACCACACAAAGTCTCATAGCCTTTGAGACGGCTCGGATATTACTATTCGAACGCCTAGACTGAAACAGGTGGTTATCTGAAGGCGCAGCTCCTCCATCCGAGGCTTTGACTTGAAGTCTGATTTTGATATAAGGCAGTGGATCAGTGTCACAAACTACATTTCAATGATTTCTGGTGACCGAAAACAGGTTCATGCATCACCCGATTCTCTTGGATTCTAGATTTGATGTACACCTTAGCTTTGGAATGAGAGTTGTCCAACACACACACCCGCCTTTTGGTAGACCAGTATGTAAACCAGTCTGGCTTTGAGTACCAGATGTCCGCATTCACCTTTTCACTGAGTGGACACAGTGAATAAGAGCTAATTCGATGATGCTATGGAGGCGCCTGGTCACATTTCGAGTATTTTGAGGGAAGACCAAAGTCTACCAAGCACTCACCCACCTTGAACATTGCCGGGTCGTTTTTGGGTACCCTACGTTCCATCTGGAGAACGCAAAGGATTAGGAGAGAAAAAACCTGTCAGGTGGGGTCTAGCGTTGAATTAAATTAACATTGATTTCCAGTAAACCTTTCAAAATAACTTTTTCACCTCTTCATCATTATTCCTTTTTGTTTCCGTTTCTTTTAGAATTTGCTAGTGAACGGTTAGGCGCTTGTACAGGCTTTCTAGAAACTATCTTCGATTGTCTACTCAAACTACCAGATCGTCTACCGGCAACAAAACGATTTGATGTACTTGTCCTCCTTCTTTGCCTATTGGTAAATATGTGTGAACATTGTCCTGAAAATCGTACTCGGATAGTCTATCTGGATATTACAAAGTCTTGTGTTAAAAAGTCGAATTCCTCACCAGCGCCCTCTCTGCCGCCGACATCATCTGCCTCGTCAGCATCAAATCAAAAGACTGTTGGTAAATACATTGATACATATGATGATGAAGAGGACGATGACGAAGGAGACGGAGAGGATGGGGAACAACGTCAGGTTGTTACTTCAACAGCTCTTGATGAATTAATACAGGTAAGTATAGAATGAGTCAAATAACCTTAAGCTATTGTTTCGTAGGTCAACACGTAAAGAGTAGACACTGGAATCAAACAGCCTTGAGCCAACCGATCAGATCTCTCAGCATCCATTTGTGTAAAGCTGAACGATCTGATTGGTTAGTTCAAGGTTGTTTGACTTTGGTGTCTATTCTTTACTGTTGCCCTTCGTAGCATTCCCAATGACCCTGAGGAGGCAGACAGTCTGTACCACCCCTTCACTACTACCTGAATGACTCAAATCAACAGTCAAAGAGTTTATCTACTGTGGTCAGATTGTGGTTTGTTATTATTATTGTTCCTTTGGGTTCCTAGTAGAACATAGGGCTTCAACTGCACGTCTCCACTTGCCACTTCTGTCTTCCTTCTGCTGTACTTTTCACCTCCATCCATGTTAGTTAGTCCACACTGTTTCAACTCCTCTCTCTTCACACGATCTCCTCCATGTCACCCACCCTTGCACTGACGACCCACTCGCCGCTTCCCATTCTGTCGGGTTCCACTCGAGAAATGGCCTGACGCGCGCGCGATGTCACCCAGCGGTGGCCTCCTCAGTGAGTGTCCATCTCCACTTTCTCCTGCATATTTGTTGGTTGGCGATTGGTTCTTGTTTGTTCCAGCCATAGTTTCTTGTTGGTCATTCTTTCCGGCCCGGCCATCTGATCTTCAGTATACAGCGAAGACAGTTGTTGGTTGAAAAAAGTTAACGTCTGCAACAGGCTGTTGGAAATATTCTTTATGACCCGCCCGCCAAATTTCTGATCCGTATAAGAGAACTGACTTGACGTATGTATTGAAAGTCCGAATTAGATTGTGGTTTGGCCACCCCTGACTCTTTTCTATTTCGAATCCTAAATTTTAGCCACTGACGATGTGAATAAAGTATATTTGATTGCATGGAGGATTTCATCATGTGCTGAAATCAGTTGGAGAACCACTGGAGAACAAGCTGGGGAGTACTGAATACCCAGCTGTTTCGTCAGCCTAGTTTGAGACTCTTCAGTACGCATCCTTGTAACCAGAAGGTCCTAGGTTCGAACCCCAGTGGCCGCGTACTGCTGAAGAGTCCCAAACTAGGACGAAACAGTTGACTGTCCTGTACTCCCAGGTTTTCGAGTGGTTCTCTTACTGATGTCAGCTCATGATGAAGTCCTCCATGTAATCAAACAAAATCCCTACAAAACCAATACTTGAAAATTAATGTATATTAGTTGGTATTTGTGATGATATTAATGATTAAGGGGGAATCTGAGTTTGTGACTGTGTGTGAAGAAGAGTAGATGGGATACTAAGAGAGAGTGAGAGCGCTTAATGCTCATTCCTGTTTGCCTAAGATAACTTTATTATTGATTATTTAACAGAATGATCCAAAGATCTTACCACTAGTTCAATTCAAGTGTTCGAGCCCGTTTGAAATCATATTCTCCCTAACAGTCTTATAGATGAATTTGAGCTAGACATTGCCAGTGCTTTTTGTCACGTTAAAATGAATTGTTTACATTCCTCAGCTATGGTGCTACTCTAATTTTTACCCTAATGAAGCCTAATTAATTAACTAAAAAGTAATTCTGGCAGTTAGTCCTAACACCAGTATCAAATCACTACTGCTCCTATATCTAACCCGGACTTAGGACTTCATAAAACACCTCTCCAACAAGCTACTGCAAACTCTTATCAGATGACCAAAAAGCATTAGCAGCTAGGGAACCTCTGGCGACGCTAAGGAGACTGTTGATTAGTACTGCAAAAGCCAGACATTGAAAGGGCTTCCGATTTGGAAACATCAAGTTAGTCATCCTAAGGTAGTGACGACATTGAAGCAGGAAATAAAAGCGTTATAAGCAATCGTGTAGTCAACCTTACATTGTCCATGTTCAATCCCCGGCTGATGCACTCTCCTTGTACCTCACCAGACCGATAGTAGTAAGCTCAGTCAATGCAGAGAAAAGATTTGTCATAAGTCGTCTAACAAACTCCCTACCACTGTTAGGAAACACCGCCACTATATTTTACTGAAAATTCAAAGCTTGTAGAGTTAATTCTGTGCTGCACCCGAATGGCAAAGAAATAATGATGTTTAAGACAGTTTTTTTAAGTGGCTCACTTCGTAAAAACACTTACCATAAGCACAAACTCCTCGCAGTGTATTTCTCTTTTCATTGTGCGTAAATGTGTTGTTACGCAATGCGCTGCGTGTAGACTGAGCCAATGATGACTCCAGGGTTTGTGTGTGTGTGTGTGTGTATTTGCATCAGTATTTATTATATTTATTTGAATAAAGTAAGAACAGCAGTGCTTTTGCAGAGTAAAGTGGTACCATCATTGTTTATTTCGTTGCCTTCTCATCAGTTGCTAACACCCCCAAGTCATTATTAAATATATCTACAAAAACAATTTTTACATACTTGCATAGAGTTCATTTTAAACAAAAATCAATCGATCAATATATGCATACAATAATAATAATATTAAACACTATTCCGAACAATAATAATCATACACAATGGAAACTTTCGACATTACGTAATCGGATGAGAGAGAGAGATGAAAATATCCAGTTACCAAGCAGAGCAGCAAAATACTGATAACTGTTTCTTTCTTAACGCATAAATCAGGTTTCAGGCGCTCGATGGAGATCGCTTCGGCGAACGTAAGGAGAATTAAACTGTTTTACCTATTGAGAATTTTGAACGACTTTGAGACGTCCACCTCATTACCCGTATCAAGGAGATGCTTGGCGATGTCACTTTTTAAATCATTTGTTCCCTTTAAACATAAGCTTTTTGGTACACTTGTAGAAAATCGTAGATATACCCTTCTTCATTCTGTTCTTCCAATGTAACTTTCCTGTAAACTGGATATTTTCACCCTCTCTTCCATCTGATTACTTAGTGTCGAAAGTTTCCACCGTGTATGATCATTATTGTTTGGAATAGTGTTCACTATATTTATATATATTACTACTGTATGCATATATTGATTGTTTGATTGAGTTTTGTTTAAAAATGATCACTTTCTTGGTAATTGTGTTAAAATTGTTTCTATAAAACACAAAATAATTGAGCAAAGAAGAATATCCAACTTTCGATAAATTCCTCTTCTTGCTCGACAAGTAGATATCTGTATGTTTATACACACAGAATATTCTAGATTAGTAGTCAATAACAATATTAGTGCTTTTTGAAATAATATCGATTTGTAAAGTAAGACCACAATGGAATTACAGTTCATTAAAGTTGCATAAGTTACAATATCAAAAATAATATATCAACTAAAATTAGGAAAATTCCACAAAATTCATGATCATTCAAACCTAGATGGCCAAGCGGGTAAGGATAATGTCTGAACTAACAGCTTCTTTTGGATGCAGAAATTAGGCTTATTAATATGGATCCCAACAGCCGGCCTCAGCAATATTTAGTAGTCAAACTCTTAAGGTGAAGTTAAGATTAGTTGGTATGCGGTAAATGACTCTGAAAGCAGCCTGGTTAACATCAATCTTGTGTCTGTATCCACAACATGAGATAGAATAGCGCTGCGGATAGATTTTGTTTGTCGTCTGCTTAACCACGCGTGGTGATGTTCGGAAATTCGGTGAGAAACACGCCTAATTGTATGGCCTATGCAACTAACTGGCTCCACAGAAGCAGTTAAATTGGTAGATACACACACATGGAAGAGGCGAAATTCGGCAGTTTTCCTTTGAGTCGCGAACTCAGAAGAGGAATGGTTTTGAAGAAGCAGCGTAATTCGGCAGCGCTTTTTTACCACATTTCTTTGGCGCTGTGTTAGTATCTCGCTGATGTTGTCCCCAAGGAACTGCATTTGTAAGAATAAAGCCCTTTTTAGGAACTGTTGGTACCTTGGCCTGCTTTGATTTTAGATTCATATTCTTATCAATAAACTTTTCTGGATAACCAATTTCACCAAGCGACCGTTTAATATTATTGAATTCCTCATCTGTGCTTCGGTGGTATAGCGGTTAGTACGCTCGCCGACCATGAACATGGTCCCAGGTTCGATCCCCGGCCGACGCACTCCTTTACCTCGCTGAGCCAGAAATAATCCTGGTAAAGAAGAAAGGTTGGGCATGAGGCTAGCAGCCCCATCCCGTAAAATAAACACTGCTACAGAAACTTCAAACCACTAGCCTGTAGCCCTATGTTCCCCTGGGAACGTGAAGGGAAAAGAAAGTTGCTCATCAAGATATTCATCCAACCAAATTACTGTTGCTCTGTGGTGGACCGAGCACTTTATGAGAATGCGTTTGTATTTCAAGGGCACGAAGCTGAGAAAATGAATATTCACTTAATAATGACTTTGGCATGTAAGCAGCTGATGAGAAGGCAACGAAATAAACAACGATGGTACCATCAGCTTATTCTGCACAAACCACTGTTGTTCTTGCTTTATTCAAATTCAATTTAAGGGGAATAAATGTATGAAATTTATTTATTTATTTATGCAACATGAAACAATTTTTGAAAAATATTACCAAAAACAATTATTTCCGACACTTTTATTTTTACTTTTTTTTCTCATTTTAGCTATTTCTTACACGTGAAGAATGTGCACGTAATCATGATTTTGAACGTGATGATGATGAAGCCGTTGCCGCAGAAGCTCGTCGACGTACAGCTGAAGAATCTAAACCTACTGATGGAGATGTTGTTGACAATAAACAACTGTCACTACGTCCTGGTCATCCTAATCCAACTGTTGAAGAAGCTGGTCTAAAATGGCGTCTTATAGAAGATCGAAGAGCGCTTGGTTTAAATAATCGAGGATTTTTAGGTTAGTGTATACATATTTATAGATGTTATTTATCTGTCATATTGACATGAGAAAAATTGATTATCAAACTGCGTAGACGTTACGTGTGTACTGTCTATTTGTCAACTTGAAACCCTGATTCAATATTATGAGGGTTTAATTGGTGTATGGTGACTAGCGGTGGAATCCATGATAAAGCGCGTTTCGTTCTGTTCGGGACTCGTCATCTGGATGTACCTGCACTACCCAGTGAGTGATGATGTTCTCGCCAAGGATTTTTTTCTATTGACTAGATAATACTACTGTCTGCAAACAAGAATTAGTCTAACGGAAACGACGTTGAAAATTAACAATTAACTTGACTGAGAGTTGACTGAATTTCAGCGTAGAACTTCGCACAGAAGTGGTGCAGCAGCGCGCTTCCAGTTACCGCAATACAAAGCTGCAAAACAACTGAATCACCAACACACATAGCATGTGAATATTCTTCATGTTTAGAAACGTATCACATGAAGATTTTGTTCATAGAATAAATATTTTGCATTATTATTATTACTATTATTATTAACTTTCAAAAGAATGGATACTGAACAAAGAGTGCTCTTTTCAATAACCTCAATGACCCACATAGGCAGTTGCACACAATTACATAATAGTGTAGGGTAGGACAGAACGATAGTTCCAGTAAATGACATAGGAGAATGAGGCAACGCTGATACCAGAGAATTGAAAAAATACTACTACCAATGAAATCAAACAATGAGAAATCATGGGATTATATACACGAATTTTGGAAGGTATGCGAATACCTTGCTTTGTTTGATATGATTTATAAGCAAGAAGAACTATTGTCGTCGAAACATCAAATCAAACTATCTTATGATGAAATTTCAGCTTCTACTCATGAATAATCCTCATCCAGGCATTAATGAAAACAAAACACGTAGATCAGCAAAGAGTCTCTTTTCGCTGGCGAATTCATTTTCTTAGCTGTACAATCGCAAATATATGTGTTATTTTGTATGTATGTGTGTACATTAAGTTTGTCAAACAAAATTACAATCGGTTATGGTTATTTCAACTAAACAGGTGAAGATTGGTAATATAAATCAAGAAAATTAGGTGTTAATGAAATTAGGGTAGTAACAAAGGTGATGAGTTGTCACAAACAGTTGTTATAAAAAGAAGTTATGTAATCATAATATGAATAGTTTGATGAGTGAGTTTTACTCAGGATGCACATAGAAACAAAGTAGATAATACGAAATTATGTAAGAGTTCTAAATGAATACAAGAATTATAAGCAAAAAAAAAACAAAATTAAGTCATCAAAAGTCAACAAAGTTGTTACCATGACAGTAGAAGTGGTTGAATAATTCTCTTTTGTATGCACAGCTCCGGTTTTTCTATGTGAATACCCAGAGCTTTAGCGATTCAAAGAAGACGAAACCGTATTGCCTTTGATAGGTGGTTATTCTTGACTCTGTAGATTACTTTAAAGCAGGAGGCGTTTGTTCGAATGGAGTGATTAGTGTTAACCAGGTGTTGTTGTTCAATTATCGCACTCCTTATTGCACCATGCTGGATAGTGTTCTTCAATCCTCTTGGACAGGGTTCAACCTTTCACCCATGTTACTATATTAGGTTCATTCATACCTAATTTTCTTGACTGATTTTGTATTACGTAACTCCAATTACCAATCTTCACCTGTTTAGTTAAAATAACCATAATCAATTGTATTTTTGTTTGACAAACTTAATGTAAACATGCATACAAAATAAATCATATATATATATGCGAAATTTTAACTGTCTGTTGGAATATTCGACAAGAATTATAAATAATTGTACGCCTGCGTTGTCAATAAGCACAGTGGCCTTCAAATTGTGATATGTTTTCAATTTTTAATCCCCTCTTCCGGGTTACCGCTGACGTATTCAATATGCCGACGTCTTCATTCCTTCCATTGTGAGTAGGACATAGGGCTTTAGGCTTTAGCCGCCCTAAAAGTTTCAATCCTGCGCTCTATTTCCCGTGTAAAGTGGCACAATAATCAATCGACGAAGTCGTGAAGTTACAAAGACTGAGGTGGTTAGGACATGTGTTACGTATGCCAAGCCATCGCCTCCCTCGACGAGCGATGTTAGCGGATATAGGGTCAGGCTGGAAAAAAGCTAGCGGCGGTCAAACAAAAACTTGGCCTCACCAGTCAATGAAATCCACAACAGTTGGTCTAAGCCACGTAGAAAGGTGTAGACTTCCAGGCTGGGGTCCTCGAGACGGTAAAAATCTATGGTTGGAAACAATTGGTGACATGGCTCAAAATCGTTCTCAGTGGCTAGCGCAGATGCATCCACTCCTTGTGACTTATGATCTCCAATGAAACTGTTTTGTTTTTCTTTATTACTCCTTTGTCTCACACCTCTGCTCACTGTTTCTATTATGCTTTTCTTGTACTTTCTTCTCTTGCTTCGCGTGCTACACGGAGTGTGGCGACTTGAACTTCCGCACATTTGTGCAAAGTTCTATGTCGAAAACAGACAGACAGACAAAAGTTTCAATAGCGCGTTGGGTTGTGTCTTTTTTTATGGGGTTGGTGGGATTTGCTGACTTCATGGTAGGTAGTCCCAAACTTTCCCTTTTTTTTCCCACAGGGCTCACTACCACCCTCTAGACCATACAGTAATATTAATTGTATGTTTTTGTGAAGGGCAAATGATACGCTGACTTCACCTCATTTTTCTACACACACACACACACACCCGCATTTACATGTTTTTAATTGCCTTACACATATTAGGAAAAAGTCGAAGACGAATGTTTAATAAAAAGAAGTCTAAAAGTCTTAAAAATAAGAAACGACAAAATGCCAGTGATATTGATGACGATGATGAAGACAACGAAGAAGATGAGGATTTCGATGACAATAGTGAAGAAGATGACGATGATGAACTGGACGATGGTAGCGATGAAGATGACGATGAGGAGGAGGAGGAGGATGATGACGACGAAAGTGTTGGCAGTGGTGCAGATGTTGAATTTGTCGCTGATACACAAGAAGAACAAGAGAAATTAGCTAAGAGCATGTCACAAGCTCAACAGCATATGGAAGACTCTGTTGTCGCTGCATATGCCGGTAAGTTCTCTTTTTCGGTAGATACTGACGGGTTCGAATAATGTGTTGATGACTAATTCCGCCTTTTTTTCCAAGTCAGTCACCTCTTTGAAATTTATATGTCTACAATTAGATAAGTGTGAAGAAATGGCTCTTTAGTTTAAACACTCAATTTACTGCCAGTGGGTACAGGGTTCGAGTCCTGATCGTGCTACTTCAATCTGAACAAACAGATAGTATTACCAGTCGCCGCACACACTGAGTGTGGACCCCCATAGTCCGGTACTTGAAATATCTGTCGCTGATAACTGAGTAGGTACGAACAACGCAATTAGATAAGATTGTGAGTCTACAAATCACTGATGATCTTCCTGATTGTGTTCGATCGCATCTTGTGGCAAATCGTGGGGAAGGGATAAGATGGGCGTAAGTTGGATTAGTAAGGAAATTCCAGGAGATCTGAATTTCTCAAATAGTCTGTGTGTCATTTCGTAGAAACTCGATTGTGTATAAGCACGGAGGAGATATTGAAGACCTAGATAATGGAGATACTCGACCAACAAAACAGACTCCGCCCCCCGGGCACGAATCACCATCAGTAGGAGAAATTTAAAGACAGACGTCTGCTTCACCTCCCCCAACAGCATCATTTAAACTCTTAAGATGTGGCATAGAGAATGCTGTCAAATCAAAACAACCGTTATTCAAGTGTTGGTTTGTAGGGATTTGGTTGGTTACAGGATTTCATAATGAGCTGACCTTCTGATTACTGGGTTCGAACCCCGGCGGAAGCGTACTGCTGAAGAGTCCCAAACTAGGACGAAACAGCTGTCCAGTAATTCCAGGTTTTCCAATGGTTCTCTAACCAATATCAGCTCATGATGAAATGCTGTAACGAAACAAGCGTTCCTTACTCTAGAATCAATGTGGGGAAATCCATTGTACTCTAGTACAAGGAGGAATAAATGCTTCCATATCGATTCAGAGACATGGCGCACTCGTCACTGATTAAGAAAGCATTTCCAATCATCTGCAAGCTTTCATATCATCAGCTGCGTTCACTGTATGTGGAAAGTCAGGTGACCAACCAGCAGAAGGAAACGGAAGTGAACTGTGTGTATGTGCATCGCAGCCTTTCAAACGAAACCACACACGCTCACACCCCAGACCCTTGACTGGAACCCCTCAAATCGGAAATGACACCTTAGGTGTCCGGCGGTGTGGTGATATTGAGGAGATCATGTGAAGACGAAAGCAAACTTTATGGACAGTTGTCAAGCCAGTCAGATGGAAATGATATCAGAGAATCTATTAGATTGATATAAGAATAAAACTTGTGCACTGTGATGGTAGAGTGTAATTCCATTATGGGTAAATTTTGTTTTGATAAAGTCTCACAGTGTTGTTATACAGTAATGTTTACTGATGACCACGTTTCGAGCACACTTTATTACTGCTCATAATCATATCAAGGTACCCACACGACTTCCTTACTTCATTTGATTTTTACTTGATTTGATTAGTAGTAGTATTTTCCATATTTCAGGTATGAATGATGAATCATTCCTATTGCATTTGTTGGGTGTAGACTCAATGAACAAGGATTCAGTTATCTACCTCTCTCTCTTTACCTATCTAGATTACTTTTTAGAATTTTAACCCTCTCCCACCTTATTGTGTGTGGTTGTGTGTTAATGCATGCATTGCAATTGCTGAGCTTTTTTCTAAATTACTTATCTTCTCGGGGTCAGCCATTCTTATCTAGGCTAAATTCTTTTGTTCCGACAATCCAATTACCCCTCATCTACTAGTTTGACCTATGTAGTTGACTTAACTCACAGTGATTACAAAGTATTTGGTTTAATTGTGTCCACCGGGTCTTTTGGCCTACATAGTTTGTCGTCGCTGAGTGACTTTGTAGGTTTAAATGCCACCCCCAATTCCTGCTTTATTTAGAATCCTACGTAGGGAGTGTCTCAGATGTCTCCTCTTTATATGGTATAACTTTAGATGATAACATCTCGAAACGTGGTCATCAGTAGTAAACACTACTGTACAACACTGTAAGACTTTATCAAAACAAAATTTTACGAGTTGATCACGGATTGATATCAGTTAGAGAACCATTGAAAACCAGGAAGTACTGGACAGCTGCTGTTTCATCCTAGTTTGGGAATCATCGGCAGTACGCACCCACTGGGATTCGAACCCAGGACCTTCCGGTTACAAGGCAAGCTCGTATACCATTCAGCCACTGGGACCCGATTCAATGGCTCGTGAATTCTAACTTCTACTAATCCTTACAAACCAAAACTATAGAAAGTTAATCTGATGCCCGCCAGTGACTTGCTACAGGTTGGAGTTTCCTGAGTTCTAGTGAGAAGTCGTGACCAGTGAGGTCCAATTAGAGGTCACGTGTGTGGATGGATGTCCCACCAACGACAATGGTTGGGGTCGCGCTAAATCACGAATTAGTAGAAGTTAGAATTCACGAGCCATTGAATCGGGTCCCAGTGGCTGAATGGTATACGAGCTTGCCTTGTAACCGGAGGGTCCTGGGTTCGAACTCTGGAAGTGGGTGTCTACTGGCGATGATTCCCAAACTAGGATGAAACAGCAGCTGTCCAGTACTCCCTATGGTTGGTTTTCAATGGTTCTCTAACTTTTGATATCAATCCGTGATCAACTCGTAAAACATAACTAATCCTTACAAACCAAAAAACTATAGAAAACAAAATTTACCTATAATGGAATCTATTAGATTGCTTGATATTTCATTGAAGCGCCTATATTCCCCCCTAAGACGGCACACAAAGGATGAACATGAGCAACCAACTAATTGTGTGTGTGTGTGATACCCTTAAAAAATATCAAAATTACAATGCCGTTTTATTAATACCGCTATTTTTGTTTCGTTTTACTTATTTGATGTTTTTTTCTCCATAATTTATCCAGCTCTCCTTCTTGGTTGTATCCTACAATCAAGTCCACGTTATACAGATCGTATCCGATCAAAGTTACCAAATGGTCAATTTCGTCCACTGGCTATTATGCTAGCCAAACTACTCAGTTTCTTATCATTAACAAAAGGTGTCGGCTCCTCAGGATCTGAATCAATTCTACGCATTGTACGCATACTAGAAGCTCAGGATAATATTGCTAATAAATCAGACATTGTAAAAGTGTCAACATCGAATGGTGTCGTATAAAAAAAAAGGAGAACACTGATGATGATTTAACCTCTGTGTAACTCTTTTTCTTAATTTGTTTTGTGTGCGTATGCGTGCGTGCGTTTTCGTTCGATTTGTTGTTGTGTTTCTCCAAAATTTTCTTGTTCAATCTTTATATATATATAAACACATAATATATGTAGGTTGAATATCCCTCTATTGAAGGGGAGTAACCAACCAATCAGTAGAGATAGGTGCGTAGGTAGATATGTGTGTATATTGTATGTCTGCGCACGCACACACACACACACACAGACAAACACTTGTAGAACCCTTATAGATTTATTGCACATAGCTTCCTTTATCCCCCTCCTCTTCTTCGACTACACCACGTCCCCGCCTTCTTCTGCTTCTTCCTGAACTGTTTCTATTGTATTCTCTTTGCTTTTTGTATCAAAGTTTTCATTCCATAATGGTTTTCCCCTCTTTTATCTTCCTTTATATATATACACAGTAGGGCCTGGTGCGCGCGCACACACGCACGCATAAGATGAGTAGTAGTAGCTTCCCCTTTATGATGTGAAAAGAAACAACGGGATGTACAAATTTATAATTGTTTGAAATTTTTATTCCTTTAATGTGTGTGTGTGTATAATGTGTAATGCGCACACTACAGTGGAACAACAGTAGTAAGTGTAATCTCTCCCTCTCTCTCTCTCTGTTTCTGTGCGTGTCTTGACAACTACTCACCACCTAGCCGGCCCAGCCCAGCCTCCTCCTCCTCCTCGTCGTTGTCACTTTCTTCTTCTTGTTGATCCAGTTAACAATCTGATCGCCCCCCACCCCGACCGCCACACACACACACATATTCTCTCTCTCACTCACTCCCTGTCTGTATTATTTATTGATTTATTTCATCCATATCAGATTGTGTTTAAATGTACATAGTTTTAATTTATTTATTTTTTCTTCTAAAAATTAATTTATTATTTCTTTTTTTTATATTTTTAATTCCCTTACATAATCACAAATGATTTCTTTATTACTATTATTATTATTATCACTATTAGTCATTCTTTATTCTGTGTGTTTGAATGGATGGATGGATTGGATATCTCGTGAGTCACCAGTATTGTATGGTGTTGATGATTGATTGATGATGATGTTCGGTGGGTTGTGTGAATAGGACTCTCATGATACTGATTCCTAGTAGTCTGTCTGTCTATCTCTTTTAATTTCAATATTATAAATGTGAATTATTTGTCGTCTCCCCTCACCGAAGACACTGACACTTCTAACTTGTGAAGACGAGAAAGAAAATGAACGGAAAGTTACAATCAGTTTCCTTTCAAATATTACTAATGATTACTAATAATATTAATATTATTAATTACTGTTACAACTCTCTCGCTCGCTTAATTATTATTCATTTTGTACATTATTTGACTCTCTCGGGTATATATATATATACGTTTTCGTAAATATATTATATAGTTATATTATGGTATTATTATTATTCCCTTGATACTTCCATCTCATTGTGTTGTTCTCTGGAGGCGTTTATATATGTATATCTGGCTCCACAATTCTGCCCATAAGATGTAATTTCCCCCCGGCCCAACTGTTGAGGGTCAATAATTAACGGTTTTTTATCAGTGTACCTGTGAATTCATCTTCATTATATTCAAGTATTGGTTTTTAGGAATTTTGATTAACTGGTTAAACGATTTCATCATGAGCTGACGACAGTTAGAGAACCACTGGGAAACCAGAAGAGAATACTAGACAGATGTTTCGTCTTAGCTCACGACTCCACCTCATCAGCGGGCACCCACACAGTGGGGTTCGAACGCAGGACTTTCTGGTTATTACAAGGCTACCGAGCTCGTAGACCATTAAGCCATTCACTGGGATCCAACCGATCCAATGGCCAGCCAGCCCATGAATTCTAACTTCTGTCAACCGCTAGCCAATTTCATAAACTTAACTTACAACAATAATCAATTTCATATCCGTTGTAGCAAATTGGTGCCTGGATTCGAGTCTTGGTGGTGCGAACATCTTAGCCCCTTGGAAGAGGCGGGTACATCGGGTTGACAAGTCCTATATCAGGACGAAACAGGTATCCCACAAACTATGTATTCATGTTTTGTCAGTGCTCTCGTTATACTGGGACAAAAACTGGACAATAAATTATAAAATTCTTTAAGATTGATGATCTTCCAGTTACTAAAGGCATTTATCGACTGCAGTCATCACGACTGAGGTGACTTAAAAACAGCACATAAGAATATTATCAATAGTAAGAATAACAGCTTTATTCTAGACAGAAATGTGGAACATAGGGATTCAAAAATACATCTCCACTCTCTTCTATTCTCTGCTGTTCTCTTCAGCTGGCTGGCTCGACGACTGCCCATAATCTCTCTCATCTCCTCTTCACACGATTCCCCAATGTCTCCCTCGCAACAACGACCCACTCGTCTCTTCCCATTCGGATTTCAATCGACAGCGTCCTCAACGTATGCCCGATCCATCCATCTCCACTTTCTCCTACATATTTGTTGAGCGATCGGCTCTCCTGTTGGTTTTCTCATAGCCAGAGTTTCTTGTTGCTAAATCTTTCTGGCCAGGCGGCTGGCTGGCTGGCCATTTGATCTTTAGTATGGGAACCATCCATAGAAGGAGGCAGTTGTTCCATAAATAATGACTGCAGTAGCCTGTTGGAAATCCTATTCGTGACACACTGGACAAGTCTCTCATGTGTATAAAGAAGAAGAAGCGACTGACTGAATTCGCATTTGTGTTGTATAGAAAATCCGAATCTTGTGTTGTTTACACTGGCTGTCTGAGTCAGTGCATAAGATTTCCAAACTGGTTTCAGGTTGATAAGGGTGTATGTATCTTGCCTTTCCGATTCTGACTGGTTTGACATCTTCATCTTGAGCTGTCTGCTTGCCTGTGGTTGAAACCATGCTTCCTTGCCAGATAAGTGAAGCCAGGTAGTATATATATATATTATCCGTTAATTTCTAGAGGAACATAGGGCTTCAGCTGCGCGTCTCCATTGCCTTCGGTTTTCTGCCAACTTTTTCACTCCGCTCCAGGTCTGTCCACATACTTTCATCTCCTCCTCACATGACCTCCTCCAAGTTACCCTTGTACTGACGACCAACTCGCCGCTTCTTTTTCGGGTTCCACTCGAGCAATGGCTTGTCAAGTGATATCACTTGATGGTTTCCTCAGCGTATGGCCAATCCACCTCGATTTCTTCCTGCCTATTTGTTTCGCAATAGGTTCCTGGTTGGTTCGCTCATTGCAGAGATCCCTGTTGCTGATCCTTTCTGGCCGGCCATCTGATCTTGAGTATTGAGGGAAGACAACTGTTAATGAAGGTCTGAAGTTTGTTGGAGATACTCTTTATGACGCGCCGATTCTCTGATCCGTAAAGTAGCACTGACTTCACATTGGAGTTGAAAATCCGGATCTTATTTTCATTTTCATGCTGAGTGCTGTTGACCTCCACACAGACTTAAGGGTAATGAAAGTCTGTCTTGCTTTTCCGATCCTTGCTTTGATATCCTCGTCAGTTCCGTCTGCCTGTAGTTGAAACGATGCTTCCCAGGTAGGAAAGTAGGTAGGTGAAGGAGGTTGTTTCTTTCAGGTTCCTCCATTTATGCTTACTGTCGTCTGTTGGTGTTGGCCAAGAATCTTCATCACCTCTGTTTTATCTATGTTCACTTGAAGTCCTATCTTTGATGATTCTTCTGCCAGCTTGTTGCTTTTCACTTGTATATCTTCCAGTTTGTGGGAAATCAGACATATGTCATCGGTGAAGTGCAGATCCTCCAAGTTTTTTGTGTGAGTCCATTTTATGCCTGTTTCCTCATTGCCCGTTGTCTGTCGCATTATCCAGTCAGGTAGTAACTTCTGTCAAATCTCTCAATAAGAATTAGAAAAAAATTTAATGCATTATTATGTTGGATGGAAATCCAGTGGACCCTGTGATTCTTCGAGAAATCCGCCATCCAACAATGACAGCTAATTCATTCAAGAATGACTTCATACTGTTCTTCACATGAAAGGAGTTACATTATCACTGTGTGTTGTGTGTTACCCCACGAATTGACAAGGTTAGAATTCTTGATTTGTTACAGGATTTCATTATGAGCTGACATTAGTTAGACAACCACTGGAAAACCACCTTACGAGTGCTGGACAGCCAGCTGTTTCATCAGCCTGGTTTGGGACTCTTCATCAGTACTCACCCACCGCCATGTTCGAACCCACGACCTGGTAACAAGACGAGCAGCTGGTAGCCGATTCAGTGGCCAGCCCGTCCATGAATTCTAACTTCTGCCAATTCACGACATAGCGCAACCGCTAGCCAATGTCTTCGGCGAGTATTTGTCCTCACACCCGACCGGCTGCACCCTACTGGTCACGACTTCCCACTGGAACCCAGGTAACTACCTACCTGAATAGGGCCAGTCGCCAGTGAGCATCTCATTGGTATTCAAGTGATGTTTTCTAGGGATTTGATTGGTTTCAGGATTTCATCATGAGCTGACATTAGTTAGAGAACCATTGGAAAACCTTGGAGTACTGGACAGCTGTTTCGTCCAAGTTTGGGACTCTTCGGCAGTACGCACCCACCAGGATTCGAACCCAGGACCATTGGATCAGGTCCCAGTGGCTTAAAGGTAAACGAGCTCCTCTTGTAACCGGAAGGTCCTGGGTTCGAATCCCGGTGGGTGCGTACTGCTGAAGAGTCCCAAACTAGACTGACGAAACAGCTGTCCAGTACTCCCAGGTTTTCCAATGGTTCTCTAACTAATGTCATATAGTCTCACAAACCACTGATTACACTCACTTTCGAAACTTGTATTTGTTGGCGATATTTGTATGTACACACACACTTCATTAATCTCATGTTCTCACTGACTATGCATATTTAAAACTATTGTTCCATCCCATCTTACTTATACGTGTTCCACAATACCCTTTATGATATGATTCTAACTTTCCTTTACTGGCTG